TTTTGTTTTTGAATTTCGCGCAAAGCTACACGAGGGCTATCTGCGCTAGCCGTTCTTAATTTAGCAGTGTGAGACTAGAGGGAAGGCAGCTAGTCATCACCACCTACCGCCAACTCTTGGGCTATTCTTTTACCGTCACATTATAACGCTCCCACGGCTGAAAGGGAGAGCATGTTTGGTGTAGCGGGGACTCGAACCCGCGACCCTCAGATTGCGAGCCGAACGCCGTAACCACCTAGCCATGCCGGGCCTATATACCTTCCGTAAGTGAAGTATAATCTATTATTTCTTTAAGGTTACGTTTGTTAACAGTTTATTCGAATGTTTAATATGTATGTATGGTATTTTTATCATAGAAATTATTTTGTATTGTTATCTTAGTATATGGACATAGAACTAACCTGAAATTTCGCAAACTAGCCAAACCTCATGAGATATTATTGGGATTATGGACGAAAATATCGCTAACAACGAGGGTATCTATTTGATGAGGCAATGCATCTTAATCCTTATAATAAAGAACGTAAGAACAGTATATGTAATTAGGTATACCCATTATCAGGTTGGTTATTAGTTTTGCTTTACGTAGTTAGCTTACTATGATCAGAAGTTTATATCAACTACTGATAAACAATCGTTCTGTATTTTCGAGCCACAAAATAAGTTGTCTTATAGAAATGTTCGAGATGCACGTTACGTTGTAAAAATGCTTAACACGTGCATTACCTTAAATCATCTGGGACGTAACTTATGGGGGAAAAGTCTTTAATATTTAAATACAAAAATCACGATACACTTATGCTCATCATTAGTTTAACTAAGGTGATTTGACGGTATACAGTGTACAATTTTTAATTTAGCGCAAAAACGTAACATTCATCCTAAACATTAGCATGGTTATATAAGCTATTGTGTTTCTTAAACATATATTAAACAATGATAAATAATTAAGTCCATTCGATATATGTTAGAAATAAAAAACGTATCGCCTTTCTAAAAAAAAAGTTTTAATTAAATACATAACCTTTTTTGTCTCACATTAGCTGAAAAATATGTAGTTTAAGGATGAGAGTAATAATTACATTATTAGTTTTAATTACTATATTTACTTAACCTAACGCGAATTAAGACTTTTTACGTTTACTTTTCTTTGGAAATTAAAATAACTTTATATATACTGGTGATATAGTATTCTTGATCTCATTTATATCGATATTATTTTACAAAACTTAATGAAAACTTTAAAAAAACATATTCTTGAACTTTTGTTTAACAACAGAAATCACTAAGATACACTATAAATTACGAGCCATTTGAAAAGGAAAGCATGTGCTAATTAGAATAAAAATACACCTGACTTGTCACACACAATAAAAATACACCTTACTTGTGACACACAATAAAAATACACCTGACTTGTGACACACAATAAAAATACATCTGACTTGTGACACACAATAAAAATACACCTGACTTGTCACACACAATAAAAATAGTTTTCCAGACAAAAAAAGATATTTACTATCCATTCTTGTTGCTTTTAGAAATAATTGAGAAATGATAATCATAATACTATTTTGTTCTGTTACATAATGCATTAAAATTGGATATCCAGTAGGACTGATTATATGCGCTTCCCAAAACCATTCTCTTCTCTCGACTTATTTTCTCATACATCGTATTGTATCTATTATTTCTCTTTACTAAAAATAATTGGCAAAAGTAATTTTAACAGCATAAAATAGCGTTGACCACAGTATAAAAGTAATTATCCGGACTTATTTTTAGGTGTTAAAGTTAACACTCTTAGCTACTTAAATGTTTTAATTTCACAAATGACAACAAGCAAATCTTTACTGGATTACAACAATTATTAGATGTTAATCTTGACATTATTAACTAGCGTAACTGAGCTTTGTAATGTTAAGAAGAAAGAAATATTTTCAGCCGTGGTATAGCGGCTCATAGAATGGCTGTGAGTTTTTGTTGTTGTTTTTCAAGTACAAACCTTTAGCTCATAGCTCCATCTATTGACCGATTTCAGATCTAATTATAGCCGCGGCTATTGAGGATTTCCTTTTGTTATTGATTGAGATTTGATATGCTACCTGTCAGATATGCGTTTCATAAAATACCTCAACTATTGATTAAAATAACCGCAGACATCTTTTGAACACCTAAGACACATTTATGTTAATAAAGCTTTCTAATATCTCTACTAGTTGTTTAATAATTACAAATAATTTAAGTCCCAAGCTGTACAATAGACAATCTGTGCTGCTCCACAGCCCCAAATGTTAGCATTACAAGGCTTTAAGTTTATTGCTGAACCACTGGGGGGGGGGGCTATATTGGTCGACAATAGCATTTTTCATGATATCAGCTCTCCAGTTTCCATTCTGATAACTCCAAATCACTTTTAGTTATTTGATTGAAACAGTCGCATGGGAACGACTAACCATAAATTTCCAATTTCTTCATCATTATAGGATCAAAAATATCAATTTCACGTTTATGGAGTTTTAAAGGAAAGGAGAATCTCTCTTTCTCGTTTGTAGAGACTTTCCCTCGGTGTCACCTGCACATCCAATCCCTGATGATATCCAGTCATGTATGAGTCTTACCATGTTGCCTTCTCGAATCGGCAGGGACCGTCGTAAACAAGTGAACTGATTTGTTTTTGCCCTTGTTTACGGTGGAATTTTTCTGAAACCAAAAGTGCTTGTTAAATATTGGCATATATTTGAGACATAGAGCAGCATATGATATTTTAAGCAATTAATGGAATTATTTAAGAGGACTGGTAATAGAAAACAACGACAATGACAATTTCAAGGTTATTGGTTAAGTGTAGAAAACACCATAACAAATACGTGACCTTCCCCAAGGTGGTGTTACCACATTGTGTGAACCTAATTTTTTTCAGAAAACATACAAAATTACGGCCAGTCTTTCGTCAATGTTGCCTACTTTTCAGATTTTCGATGTGAATATTATCCAAACTTTTAAACGCTTAAATTACTTATGATTATATAAGTAATTTTATCGAACAACATTCATTTATATGACAGTATATTCTCCATTTCAAGTTAAGACTAAACAGGATAAAATATGAGTTACTGAGGCAACTGTTATATTATATGCTATTTGGGAAAACTATTTTAACCGTATTAACATAACAATAATGAGCACACTTGACAACGACACTCAGTTTTTACATAAAACATCAGTAAAATTGCAAAATATGTGTTAAAATATTAAAAAGTAAGAGTTTGTGACACACAAGCGGAATTAAAACATATAACATATTCTCTGTATATTGATATTTTCAGCTTTGAAAAAAAAAGAACTCTACCCCATATTAATACTATCAGCTTGAAAATAAACACACTAAACTCCGTTGAGTTCGTAACCATTTCAAAGTAGTTAATCGGTTTAAGAGTTGATACTGTTGCATGCACTGTTTACAATAGCCAATAAGACTTCAACCTTATGCGGGCCAGAAAACTTTAGTTTAGTATAAATAGCGATTTTTCTTGTCTTTCGACCTCAAATGAGAGCAACCAAGTAGGCTACTAACCTCCAGTTTCTTGAAATTCTTACACGGAGGAGTGGAGAATAAACAGTAAATAATGGGATTGGCAGCGCTGTTCAGGGGAGCTAACGCCTGAATGAACGTTGAGATAGCAATCAGTGTCTGGTTGATGGGAATGAATCCGTATACTTGAAGTAAGTCATATATGAAGTATGGGCTCCAGCAAAGTATGAATACTAGAAGAAAAATAAAAGTTTAGAAAAATGGAAAACATTTTCACACAGATATCTTAAGTGGAATATCGAGTGTGAATAGTTTCAATGTTTAGTATTTATTTCATTTTATTGAGATTAAAATCTACACAGAATGTCGATTTTAATTCGTGCTAAGAAGTGGTTTGTGTTAGAATACATTCTATAGCTTTACAGAAAGAAATTGCAGGCAGCAATCGGTAAAAAGTACTTACGTGTAGGGCATCGTCTCATCATAGATAAAACTTTTCATAAAATCAATGCTATAATATTTGATACACAAGACTGAACATAGACTTTATTTTTACATAGTGTCATGACATATTCAATACAGTGTTAACTATTTCATGCACACATTATTGAAATATCCATTTAAAGCCAGTAAGTAAATAATATAATAAAAACACCGTTTTGATTTACATTGTCGTATTTAATATTTATTTGCTTTTCATTTTTGGAAGTAATAACAATCACGTATATTAATTGATCAGTGGGAGTATAAGAAACATCACTTTCCTTGTTCAAAAATTATTTCAGTTTAAGGAATATTTATATCTTAAGACTTTCCATAATAAAATTAAGATAATAATGGTCTGAAAGCAACATTTTTGAAGTCATGTGACACTTTATTTGTAAGGTGTTCTTAAGACTTTCCATAATATGATTAAGATAATAATGGTCTGAAAGCAACATTTTGAGTCATACTACACTTTATTTGTAAGGTGTTCCTGAGATTCTCCATAATATAATTAAGATAGTAATGGTCTGAAAGCAACATTTTTGAGTCCTACGACACTTTATTTGTAAGGTGTTCTTGAGATTCTCCATAATATAATTAAGATAGTAATGGTCTGAAAGCAACATTTTTGAGTCCTACGACACTTTATTTGTAAGGTGTTCTTAAGACTTTCCATAATATAATTAAGATAATAATGGTCGGAACGCAACATTTTTGAGTCAATTTATTTGTAAGGTGTTCTTAAGACTTTTCATAATATAATTAAGATAATAATAGTCTGAAAGCAACTTTTTTGAGTCATACGACATTTTATTTGTAAGGTGTTCTGAATACTTTCCATAATATAATTAAGATAATAACACTGGTCAACAACATTTTTGTATCTTACTAAACAAGTACTAATCTTCATTAATATGAGGGTGCTGATTACGAAAACGAACTTATTTTTGCACAATGGGTCCAGTTTTTTCAGTATAACAGACGGTGGTACATGTGGGGGTAGGGGAAGGTCCGGGGTAGTGATCATCATGCCTTATTCATATTTTCTCTAAAATCACTGTTTTTTGTTGAATTGATAGAGCTATTAACAAAATTAAATCTAAGTTTTGGAACATAACGTTTAGATTTTCAATATAAAGTGGGTAATGAGGCAATATGGGGTATGGGTAATGGGTGCTTCATGGCATGATATGATATTATATATGGAAAATATTCATGGTGTATATGTGGAGATTTGAAAATGGTAGGCTTGTTGCTTGGAATACAAAAAGGTTTCACCAATTACTGCTGTTTTCTTTGCTTATAGGACAGCAGGGCAACTAAAGAACATTACTTGAAGAGTGATTAGACCCTTCGACAATCTTTGGTGCCTGGAGAATATAGTGTGGAATCAGAGCCATTAGTAGACCCACAAAAGATTCTTTTGCCACCTCTCCACATCAGATTTGGTTTAATGAAGAATTTTGTCGAGACTCTAGACAAAAATTGTAAGGGTTTAAATACTCTAGGGAGAAATTCCCCAATATTAGTGACGCAAAAATGAAGAAAAATATCTTCATTGGGCAGCAGATCAGGATGATACTCAAAGATGATCAGTTTTCTCTATGTTTAAACAAGAAAGAACTTCCCGCTTGGAAGTCTTTTAAACGTTTATGCGAAAATTTCTTAAGCAACAACAAGTTAAGTGACTATCAGTCCTTGGTTAAGGAAACGTTGGCAGCCTAAAAAGATCTTGGCGCACGGATGTCATTAAAAATACATTTTTTGCACGGTCATTTAGAGTTTTTCCCCGAAAATCTTGATGAAGTCTCAGATCAGCATGTGAATGTTATCATCAAGATATTACAATAATGGAGAAAAACTACTATGGTAGATGGGACCAAGCTATGATGGGGGATTACTGCTGGATGCTCAAGCGTAAAAGTGACTCAGTATTCAAGCGGAAATAACAGAAAAAAACACTTTTAACAGCTTTTAAATCCTGCTTTGTAATAGTTTTAGTCATAGAATAAAGTAAACTTTAATTCTTTATTTTATTTTATTTTTCTTAGGTAATAAATAATCTATCAATGATGGCAAGCTATGTGGTATATGAGTCTCAAGGCTTGGTACAATATCTCACACACCTGACCCGCTATGAAAAAAACATTATGAGTTTCGTAACCTACGCCCCAAAATTAGTCAAAAACAGCTATTTTTATAGCTTTTTGTTTCCTAGTGCAATGGGCTGAAAGCAACATTTTTGAGTTATACAACACTTTACTTGTAAGGTGTTCTTAAGAGTTTCCATAATATAATTAAGATAATAATGGGCTGAAAGAAACATTTTTGAGTCATATGACACTTTAATTATAAGGTGTTCTTAAGACTTTCCATAATGTAATTAAGATAATAATGGGTTTAAAGCAACATTTTTGAGTCATGCGAACTTTCTTTGTAAGGTGTTAAAGACAAAATTCAAAACAAGAATAAATGTACATCTTTTCGGTGATTTCTCTCCTTCATTTGCCAAGATTATCCACTTCCATACTTACCAAATACAATCACAAGAGTCATCTTTACAGATTTGATTTTTGCCTTTGGAATTATTCCTCTAGAACTCGCTCTTCTGTTGTCACTATCGCTGTCAATGGAAGCCTTCTGTCGGACTGTGCTATCTATTTTAATAAATGACACCAAGCTTAACTCCTGCTACTTTTGTATGATAACACAATATATCATGAGAAAAAGTTTACAGTAGATTTTATAAACATTGTATCATACAGTTTATATTTTTAAAGCGTTATCGTAGAATAACGTTTGTGCAGGTACAAATGCTAGATTATTAGGGTTAACGTCGAAGAACGTGTATATAGAATAGTATATTCATTTTGAATATTAAGGTAGCACTATTCATTACACAGTGAAACCAATTATAGGCACGAAAACAAATATCAGGTTTTATTGTCTTTTCAAGCGTACACATTCATAGGATCGATCACAGTACGCACACTTCTTTAAAACCTCTGTCTTTTATTGAATTGCATTCTTCTTTAATGACTCTTTCAATTATTATTAGAGTACCCTTCTTTAATGTCTGCTTCACAATAGATTACATTAACACTTTTTAATGCCTCTTTTTCCTTACATTAGAGTACCCTTCTTTAATGTCTGCTTCACAATAGATTACATTACCACTCTTTAATGCCTCTTTCTCCTTATATTAGAGTACCCTTCTTTAATGTCTGCTTCACAATAGATTACATTATCATTCTTTAATGCCTCTTTCTCCTTATATTAGAGCACCCTTCTATAATGTCTGCTTCACAATAGATTACATTAACACTTTTTAATGCCTCTTTTTCCTTACATTAGAGTACCCTTCTTTAATGTCTGCTTCACAATAGGGTACATTGTCCCTCCTTAATGCCCCTTTCTATTAATATTAGAGTACCCTTCTTTAATGTCTGCTTCACAATGGGTTACATTGTCACTCTTTAATGCATTTTTTCTTTAGATTACAACACCTATCTTAATTCCTCTGTGCCCAATTAAATTACAACATCCCTCTATGACGCATTTTTCTCCCATATATTTGCAACACATCTCTTTATCAACCGTGTCCCTCCCCTAGATTACAGCGTCCATTTTGATACCTCTATCAACCACTAGATTACAGCACCCATTTTTAATACCCCTGTCAGTCACTAGGTTACAACATCTCTTTCTTATTCCTCTTTCTCTCTTATGTCACTCATTTTTATTGTCTCTGTTTTCCACCAGGTTTCAGAACAATTTTTGTGGTATGTACCCAAATATTCACCATTGAATAATATAAAAACATCAACTTGTTGTTTAGTGGAAATTTGAGATAAATTGTAAGACTATTTCAAAAAAATAGAAAACACAGCTATCTTTCTCAATATACTATACAATACTGGTTAATCTATTTGTATAAATAGACCTGCTAACCTTTGGAAAGAACGGAACTGCTCTGGATTTTCGGGTATCCCATATCTTTGCTCTTAGACCAAATGGTATACACGATCACAGTGTAGCAAGTAGAGATAATTAAGGCAGGCAGAAAGAATAAAGACATCGCTACCAGCATTAGATAAGTCTTCCACTGCCACGGGTTGAGGTCAATCCAACATTGCACACGACCTTTAATTAACAAGTCTTCATTTAGAAAAATTGCTGGGATAGAGGCTAACATGCTTAAACCCCAAGCTAACATCACCAGAATCCTTGCTCGTTTCCCTATTACAGAAAGAAAAATGGAACGGTAAGTTTAGAGTTTTATAGCAACCACCGAAACTATGTTATAACTGAGGAAAAATGCAAGAGTGCAATCATGCAGGGATGGGAACAGACTGCTCAGTAGTAGCCTTAAGTTCGTTTATTAAAGAAGTAAAATATTAGGTGATTTTACTTTTAACCTTATATATCATCTATTGTGATATCCAGGGAAGGGAGTAAAAATGCGTTTTCTACTAAATCTAGACCATGCTTACATTGGCTATATATATATAAAAAAATGGTGTTAAAAGAAGAGACTGGCAATTTAAAGATAAATTGCTGTTTTTTATAATGTATATTTTAGCCTTAAGTTTCCTTTAACGGATTGATTGTTTATTTTTGTAATTTCGCGAAAAGCTACACTTGGGCTATCTGCGTTAGTCGTTCCTAATCTAGTAGTGATAGACTAGAAAAGGCAGCTAGTCAACAACATCCACTGCCAACTCTTGAGTTACTCTCTCACCAACGAGAAGTGGCATTGACCGTACTTTATAACTACCCACGGCTGAAAGAGCGAGTATGTTCGATGACGGGATTCAAACTCGCAAAAATTAAGTTGCGAGTCGAGCCTCCTAGCCACTAGGCTATTCCTTTAACGAAAAAGTTACGCGTTTGTTTTAGAAATCGTGGTAAATGGTTAACCGGTTTTGACTCGGCAAGGAACAGTACAAAAATAATACTATACACAATGTAATTGTCGTATAGTTACAACTAAGTAAGCAAACGGGAATTTTCCTTTTTGGTATAAAGGATGTTGGTGATATTGATTGTGGTCAAGAAGTAGGAAACCATTCGGCTGACCTGTATTGATAGACAGACTGACGGTGGGGGGCTGAAAAGTAATTAAAAATAATCTCAGGATTAGAATAAGATTATAATACTTCTGAATTAAGTTGTGGACCAGTCTCCAGGAACGGATGGTTGAACTCCCCAGTACTGACTGCCGTAGAGTTGGGTTGCCATTAACTAAACTATTGTAGAATATAACTGAATAAACTGCTGCAAAGTATGCTTCGTATTAAACAATCTGCCTTACAGTTGATATTACGAAACAGATATAGCAGTTGTTAAACTACATAAACTAATGTAGAGTATAGTTGTTATTAAGTATCCTGCCGTAGAGCATAATAGTTATCATTGTTATTAAGTAAACTGCCGTAGAATATAATTAAGTAAATTTCTCTAAATTATGCTTCTTAGTAAGTAACTTATTATAGTTATTTATTATAGTAACTTATTATATTATAGTTGATATTATCTAAACTGCTGTAAGGTATAGCAGTTGTTAGAAGAGTGGAGGTTGAGAGTTTTATAAATTGTAGAAAAATAGGACTATAAACAGTGGAGGTTGTAAGTTTTAAAAATGTTAAAATTCTAGGGTGGTTTATTTCTTCTTTAAGGTTATTTCATATCTAAACACTAAGAATAACTGCCTTCCCACAACTGGCTGCAGACAGCGAAAGGCAGTTGGAGTTGAGACTGAACTCCTAACCCTTAACTGATTCTTCATAGCTGCTGGCTAGTTTCACATCTGAGTTTGGATTTTGTCTGATAGATAGAATATCCCTAACCCTTTTGGGAGCTATGACATATATATTAATGATGATGACAAGGACTAGTAATGAATTTTTTTTAATCACACATGAACATTTTTGATTTGTATATATGTACATTTTGCTACATAATTTATCATAAACGGACACTTTAACATTAACGGAATTGATATATTCATCCTTAGCAATTACTTATGCTTACGTGGACTAGATGTGCCGGTCAGAGACTTTTATAGGATTAATTTGTCCTTAATTTTCAGCTACTGATTAGAGGGAAGGTAGCCAGTTAACAGTACCCCTCGTCCAGCTTTTTGAATCAAATTACAATATTGACTGTTATAATATGATCACAGTTGAAAGTACGGACCTCGTTCAGCGACATCACGTCTAGAACCTGGGACTTTCCATCCACACCTTAATCATTAGGCCACGCACGTAAAAGCGCTTTAAAATTAGAGTAGCTTCTGAGAAGTTAGTAAAGGGATTGATGTAGTTTCTGTAAAGATATATACACATAAAGGGGTGGATGTACTTTCAGTAAAGGTATATGCACATGAACGGGTGGATGTAGTTTCAGTAAAGATATATACATATGAAGGGATGGATGTAGTTTTAGTAAAGGTGTATATACACATAAAATGGTGGAAGTAGTTTCTGTAAAGATATATGCACATGGAGTTTAAGCACAGTTTGCTTATAATAACAGTAAAGCTTTAAACAAGGCTAAACCGAGCTAACTATCTTGAAAATAGTATAATAATGAAAGCAACAAAGACATTCCTTATTATAATGCCTAAGGTAAAATTCTCTATTATTCATGGATCTTTTTATATGGATAATGATTTCTGACTAATAAGAAAGCTATCACGACGGTCAACCACGAAATTGATGTTTTTATAAGTCAGAACAAGTTCAGAGTTTCAAAAGAAAGACTGCTTATTGTTGTACAGTTTTCTGGAACATTATATGAGAAACATCCGCATCTCCTGTAAACTTTTTCGGAGCATAAAAACAATAACTAAAAACTTACAGCTCCCTCGAAACTTCATGGGGTGGGTAATGGCATCATAACGATCAATACTCAGAGCTACTAGCATATAGGTTGAGGAGTAGGTTACCATCACCTGGAATGTTGAAAGAGTCATCTGCACTCATGCTGTCACACGATATAAACAAGTGTAGTGTTCAGATCAACACTTGATCTGTTTCTTATTGTAAAACCTTCTAAAAATACCTTGCCTTTATAGAGATCTCCAGCGATAAAAGGCAGAAAAGTAACACTGGGTATAATATAAGGACGTTTACCAAAAAGAGTAAATCAACTCACACTTTAAACTAATCACTTTAGCTAATAGAACCTTTAGAATGCTTTAAATATAAGGGATTTGTTTGGAGAAAATCAACCAATACAACTTTAAACGTAATAAAAATCAACTTAATTCAGTTAAATTAACGAAGTACTTTGTGAACTAAATTCCGTTGCACCAGCATTGTTTTTAGGTCAATGAATAAACTAATAAGCATGAATAATCATTTAAACAAATTTTACTGCATAAAAACTTCTTTCAAACCAGTAAAAAGAAATCATTAGTAGTTTAGCACATTGATGATAATGTGTTTTTAGGTATAACGACATACAGTTTTCATGCTATGAATAATTAGACTGAACACAGCTACTTCTGGCAACTAGCTTCGTCAGGTAAATACATTTAACTTAATAGGAATCATTACTTTCTTTACCCTACGACAATTATCTTGTATTTCGTATAACAGTTCTAGATCACACAACACATAATTAAGATGAGCATCTTACAGTTTCGGGAAATAAATACTTAAGTTAATTTTTCTCTTTACAGTCTTGTCGGGTGTGCTGCTTACACCCGAACGGATATATATATATATATATAGACTGCGACATGCAATAGAGCTAATTAAAAATGTTATTTTGGAGTCATTTTTTATTTAAATTTTGCCATTACATGAGCAATTCATTTACAACTGTTTATATATACAAAATATATACAAATTTTCAAATCGTGACACCAGGATTTACTGTTAATGACGTGTAAACTGAAAACTGTAAGCAAAGATTTTCCTTGATTCGAACGGTTCAGAATCAAGACAGATAAAGACTGTTAAGCGAACACAAAGGCAAACAGGTATGTGGTTCTCAGTACGTACCTGTAAATAGCGGACAAGTTTACAGACAACCTTCCCTCCATGAAAGTCCACTGTCATCCTCCAAATAACATCCGCCAGAACCTGGATCAATCCAACGGACAAGTCTAGAAAAATTCAATCATTTGATACATCAATGAAAGTGTAGAGAAGGAAACATTGAATACATTATTAAGTCGACACATCAATGTGAAAAATAATGCTAGAAAGAAGTAACTTTTCATTTCTTCTGCATACCCAAGAAAACTTTTCGGATCGTTATATAAAATGGAACCTTTTGAATAAGTAAAAACATATTCGCCATAATTTTTACAACGAGAAGGTTCCATTCTTAGCTTAGAAAAGACACTAGCTGAAACTTAATTTTGATATTCTCTGAATAATTAAACAAAAGTATGTAAAAATTACGTTAGTAGTGACTTGTATAACCTATTCCTTATGGTATGATGTTTTCAAGGTGATAGGCACCTTATGCGACACATTGGATAAACGGCTAAGTCAGAGACGTCAGTGTTCAATTACAATCCCTAAACAATCAGTAGGATCCGTTGTCTACAACTGATGGTACGAAGTATCTTCAGAAACAACATATCAACACTCAAACATTGGCTCTTATGATTCTCAGCCCAGCATGCTAACTACTAAGTCATAACCAGATCTATATATGTATACCCGCACTTAAAATACATAGAAAGTTTCTGTGCAAATTTCAGTTGTTTAACATTATAAACTTTACTGTAATACTATTACTGGACTAGGACATTATAAACTTTACTGTAGTACCATTACTGATCTTGGACAATATAAACTTCAATGTAGTACCATTACTGGACTAAGACATTATAAACTTTACTGTAGTACCATTACTGATCTTGGACAATATAAACTTCACTGTAGTACCATTACTGGACTAAGACATTATAAACTTTACTGTAGTACCATTACTGAACTAGGACTTTATAAATTGTACTGTAGTGCCATTAATGGGCTAAGACATTATAAACTTCACTGCAATACCATTAATGATTTTGGATATTATAAACAACGTTGTAGTGACATTACTGACTTAGGAATTATAGAGTGTGGTATAGTGTCATTACTGAGCCTTGACATTATAGACTGCAAGCTAGTGTCATTGCTAAGTTTGGACATTATAAACTACGCCGTAGTGACATTATTGGACTTGGAAATTATAAACTGTGCTGTAGTATCAGTACTGAGCTTGTAGATTTTACACTCAAATGTCCTTTCCTCTAATGGCTCAGAATATAAAAACGTCACAGTTTTTAGCCAGAGCTCACAGGAAATAACTGTCTTGACGAACCTTTGTACAGTGGACGGCAACTGACTGTTGTAGGGACGCAAAGATAGAGGACGACGTTTCGAAAGCCTTCCTCCTTTCGTCTTCAGGTCCTGAAAACGAAAGGCGGAAGACTTTCGAAACGTCGTCCTCTACACATGTATCTCTACCACAGGCAGTTGTCGTCCATTCTACAAATTTTCATCATGAATACTCTGCCTAAACAATCTATCAAAGAATAATTGTCTTAATTATAGTATTTTGGCACTTGTGTATAAAGTTAAAATCATGACGAATGACGCTGTAACGTCGAAACATGTAGAGTCGTCAACTTTTTGAAGGCAATAGATAGGCCTAATTAAAATGTTTTTAATTGTGTACTAGTTTAACGTTGAATATTATTTATGATTTTAATAATTGTCTTGTTTCAAAGCCAACTTATAGAGAAAAGACTTGTGTTTATTTCCATTGTGAGGAATAACGTTTCACAGTTTAATTAGATAATTGAGTTGTTCTAAAGAATTTCTGACAATTTTATCTTTTTTTTTCATTGAAATTGACGTTTTGCTTAGGATAGGAAATTCACTTGTTAAGATTTAATAACTCCAAAAGAAAATTAATGTTTGAAATTATCATCTTAAAAGTATTATTTTCCTATGGGTTTTGTAAACTGAATTCTAATTCCAATTTTTGTTGTTTTTGTGAAAAAAATACGCTCACACACTTGTTCTAAAATTTTAATACCTGTAAAAGTTCTTCCTAGTTATAAACAATACTTGAAATATTGCTAATATTCGGAACACAAACATAGACGTAATAAAGCTTACCTGCTAAAGCTAAATGTATGATAAAGAAATTCATCCTTGATTTTCTGTTTTTTGATAGTAACAATGTTACTAAAACATAACTGTTGCCGAAGACGATCATTGTAAAAATTACCCACATAAATGTGACTTGTTCCGTCTGTAAAAGGAAAATACAACATGAGTTAAGTACATAAAGATCACAGTCCAACTTATCTTTTATTACTAAATTCTACTCAAACCAACTGCGTTTGAAAACTGTCCCTGATTTGCTTGGATCCCGTTTTACTTTAAGCAAAACATAATGTGAATTGGACCCAAAAAAGGAGACTAAGGAAATATAACTTCATTTGTAAAGGTGCGATGGAGGAAATGTTTTGTACCATCACTAAAATTATCAAATTAATCCAAGGTTTTGACATTTCTTACTGACAGTTAAATGAAGAGACTTTGTTTCTAACAATCTTCCAAACAGAAGTTTGGTTACGTTAAACAAACAACCAGCAGTGTGACAGTACCGTGGGTTGAAGTTATCAATGCAATATGTTGGATTACTAAAATGGTCCAGGAGAATCATTAATTACGCACCTATTAATATATTGTTCAGTGTAATATTACATAAAATGCAATTTGTAGATTTAAAGAAACCGACATTTAAAAACCGTGATGTCATCGGGAATGTATGTTCTACATCTAAACCGAGTTTTCCTAATATATGTTTACGCTAAAGAACAGACATTCAGAAACTGTGATGAAGCCGGAAATTTATTCTACTCATATATCAGATTTTTCTATGATGTTGACGTGTTTTTATAATGCAACCAACATTTGAAAACTGTGGTTACGTCAAGAAGACATTCTAAATCTATGTTTTGTTTTTATAATGAAACTAGCCTTTAAAAAAACGTGATGACATTGGTAATGGGTTTGACATCTATACTTGTTTTTCTTGTAATATCATTTTGTAAAAATACAGATATCAACTTTTAAACATGGCGACCAATACGTTAAACAGAGTATATCTTCTATGTTATTTACTTTTATTATACTTAAAGTAAAAAAAAATGTATAAACTTATTAACAGATAAAATATCTAAACATAAAGTTAGTGGACACACCAGATTAAAAAATGCTTTATATAACACAATGATCAAACTGAAGTCTACAAGCAAATGTTATAAACAACAGCCAGACGTTTAGACATCGTCGATACCTTATTCAAAAGTTGAAGCCACTTCAGTTTATAGCATTTGCTTGTAGACTTTAATTTTATCGTCAAATAGAATAAACAGTTTTTCTGAAACACATGTTGACCTGATGTGCACGTTAATTTCGTATTTTATACTAACCTAGATTCGTCAAAACTATTATCCAAGGAGGTACTAGTTGAAATGGTAAATTAATACAAGAGATGGTTATCTATTTCACCTTGATATAAATGAACAGACAAAATTTTGCTATGTTTAGCTTGAACAATGCATAAAATTCATTTGAAAAAAAACACCAGCTTCATGTTATCTGTTCAGCTTTTGAATGAATCTGTAGTACTGTTGTTGAACGAATCTGTATTACTGTTGTTGAACGAAACTTGCAGTATTGTTGTTGAACGAAACTTGCAGTATTGTTGTTGAACGAATCTGCAGTATTGTTGTTGAATGAATCTGTTGTATTGTTGTTTAGTCTTCTGACAGCAGAATCACAGTCATGATCATCTACATTAAGAGCAACTTGCTTGTGCAGCGATAAAAAGGAACAGGGATGTGTCATGAAAGGATCTTTTCTGGTAAAAATCATGACCCCACCAGGCCAGAATGTGTCATGAACGAAACTTTTCTGGTAAAACTCATGGCCTATTCAGGCCAGAATGTGTCGTGAATGAAAATTTTCTGTACAGAATGCGTTGTGAATAGGACGTTTTTGATGAAAATCATAACCCATCCAAGCCATTATGGGTCGTAAATGAAACATTTTTCCTCAAAAACACAGCCTATTCAGGCCAAGATGTGTCGTGAATAGTTTTGTTTTTTTTGCTGTAAAGCACAACAAATTCAGGGCACTGCGTTACTGAACCTTTTTAAGTTTGAATCAGAGCATTCTCTTCGAAATAAGCCCATTTAATATATTTTAATCTCAAAGAAAAGTAAAGCCTAGTCTATAATCTGACTTCACGCTTGTTTCAGGGAACTACACCCACCCTCTCATCAGTAACCCTGGATAGGTTCATTATTTTACTATAAGCTATAATGAGTAAAGTGCATCTCAAACAACATACACGTAGATTAACTTAATGTGCGTATCTTCCATCATATCTCACCAGTTCTTTACATATTTTGTATATTCGAAGTTTCGAGAAACCAAATCCTTTTTGGAGCACAAACTGAAATATTACACAAGCTAACATATCCATATATGCACACAATTCACTGAAATATCAGTTTATTCCAAATCATGCCATGTCTTTTCCCATATCCACTCTGTTTATTAAAGAACAGCGTTAGATCATACTAATATCAACATGGCATGTGAAAAGTGATATTTTAATATTGTTTATGAGATATTAAAGGCCAAGCATAACTCGAAATCTGAGGGTCGCGGGTTCAAATCCCCGTCACCGAACATGCTCGTCCTTTCAGCCTGGTAGCGTTATAATGTGTCAATTAATCGCACTATTCGTTGGTAAAAGAGTAGTCTAAGCGTTGGCGGTGGGTGGTGTTGACTAGTTGCCTTCCCGCTAGTCTATCACTGCTAAATTAGGGACGGCTAGCGCAAATAGCCCTCGTTTGGCTTTGGGCGAAATTCAAACTAAACTATTTGTATCGAAACCCGTATTTAGCAGTATGAGTCGCCAGACTTGCTGCTGAGACACCGGGAGAGAAGTGGGGTGCAATTTTGAAATTAGCTTCTCAGACTTTAATCAGAAAAGTGTAGAAATTTCATTTCTCTGTTTGTAATAAAATATAAATTTAGAACACGTTTTCAGGCTGTTTCGAGACTACAAGCTTAGAACTGCTTAAGGCATTGTTTTTTGTTCCTGCAACAAAATGTCATAATTTATTTACACGCTCCGTAGAACTTCTATTTTTTCTGAAAATAAGAAATCGCTTACTTGCGTCAACGTTAAGTTGTTCGGCAATACCGAAAGAAGTCTATGGGAAACTCTTTTCTTTTTGTTTCAGAAATCTCACGCAAAGATACACCAACACGGGCTATTTACGCATAGTTGTCCCTAATTTTGAACTGACAGATCAGAGAGAATGCAGCTAGTCGACAGCACCCACTGTAATTTCTCGGGGTTTGATCATCCCTCTTATAACGCACCGACCCACGAAACCAAAGATCGGAACCAAGTTTTGCGGCAAAGGGACGCGAACCCTTACATTAGCAGTTCTGCACTTTAGGCAATAGGTCACACCATGAACAAAAGAAATACATAATAAACAATAATACATTATTATAAATTGTTAGGTTTGTTTTGAATTACGCTACATGAGGGATATCTGCGCTAGCCGTCCCTAATTTAGCAGTGAAAGACTAGAGGGAAGGCAACTAGTCAT